AATTCAAAAAAAAATAAAAATAAAAATAAAAAATAAAAAATGTATGTTTCCTTGAAGTTTTCCATTCAAAAACAATGAAAACCTATGTCTCATTTGAAATTTGTCAAGCTTCTGATTGATCAGTTGAGAAGTGGGTTTTGGGAATCATGAGTGCATCCTTCCACATCGTCTTTGAACAACAAACTGGACAATAGATTACAAATTATTAATGTAGGAGGAAGAAAACGAGACTGCATTGTCTGCTCGAATAGGAAAACACCAGGTGGAAGACATCTAACAAATTAGTATTGCACAACATAGATCAATGAACCTGCAATGCATGTTGGAAACTGTTTCATGCAATACCACACATTAGAAAAATGTAAAACATAGGATTGTAATATTTTGTCATAAATAAGTTCCTCGATGTCCAAAATTCCATTATAAGTGAAATATCATTACAATAAAACAATTGGTTCCAACACTATACTACTTAATATGAAGTGATTTGTTTTTTACTATTTTGTGATCTGTGTGATGTTTCCGAGTGCAAAGGGCTAAGGTGCCTGTGTGATATCCAAATGGACTTGCATAGGCAGTTTGATTATTAAGGTGAAGGCTAGACTGTTGTAAAAAAAAAAAAGGAGGAAAATATAAAAAGAGACCTTGAAATGCAATGGCTCAAACAAAATAAATCATAGTAGTCTAATAAGCAAGCTGATTCTGCAATAGAGGACCCAGCTATTCTAGTATAGTCTGTGTCAAGAACTGAAGGGGTTCTTAGGCTTTAACCTGCTTGTAAGTCAACAGGTTAGCCTGCTGTAGTTTCATGGCTTCTCATAGGAGCCATGAGTCTCCTGGGGGGAGATGAGGGACTGCATATTACTCACAGCAATAGCCAGAGTATCAGCATTTTTCCCTCAGTTGCCTCAGTCCTAATTCCTGTAGATTATTGTGCAGTGGATTGTATTATAGAAGAGGACTCCCAGGCTTAAGGAACTGAATCTTTGATATTGGGTAGCAAGCAAACCTCCTTTTTGCTTTGGAGGAAGACCCATCTCTGTCTTCCAAGCTTCTTTTACTACATAGAAAAGATGGCCCAGAACTAGACTGTCATTGCCTCACTTGCAAGATAGTGCAGAAATGTGAGAGACCTTTAGAGATTTGTCTTCCAAAAGTCTGTAGAACAGCAGCATTGGCACCATCTGGTAGCTTATTTGAAATGCAGAATCTCAGGCCCCAATCCAGACCTTCTGACTCAGAATCTGCATTTTAATGAGATTTATCAACTGATATATATACACATTATAGTTTGAGAAGCATTGCTCTTAGAGTTTTCTCATTGTTTGCATGGTTCAATCTGGTCTCTTCTATATCCAAGTTAAAGCCAGAAGTTAAGGGCAAAGGGAGCATATAGAGCCACATCTTTTTTCTTAAGACTCAGAGTTGGAGTATACATGATACATATCACTTCTGTTTACATTGGTAAGATCTTAGACATGGTCACAGCCAACTGTGAAGGAGACTAAGAGATATAATCCAGTCAGGTGCCATTAATATGGAAAAAAGAATGGATTTTAGTGGACAGTTCACATATCACCCACCCTTCTACATATTTGGAGTTGGAAAATGATGCGGACCTGAGAAAGCAGCACTTAGAGATTGAAGCCACGAGAATGGACAAGATTGCCAGGAGAGGGCATATAAAGCAGTGTTTTTCAGTCTCATCACTGTTGATGTTTTAGGCTGGTTAATTCTTTGTTGTGGAGGTCTGTTCTGCACATTTTATTATGTTAGCAATATCCCGGGCCTCTATCCACTAGATGCCAGTAGAACTCCCTCAGTGTGACAGCCAGTGTCTTCAGACATTGCCAAGAGTCCCTGGGTGACGGTAGGGCCAACATCACTCCCTGCTGAAAATTACTGGTTCAGAGTAAGAAGGCAACCCGGGAGAAAGGAATATCAATATGTTTAGAGTGGTCAGAGGGAAAATGAAGCTTCCAAAAGAAAGTAGAAAACGAATGGCTAGAGATCTAAGAGGAAAATCAGCAGAGAATGGTATCATGGAATGAAGGGAAAAGAATGCCTCCGAAGGAAGGAAAATAACAGTGTACTCTTAAATAATTAAATACTGTCTTTCACTGCATAGTGATATGTAGTCAAGGACAGATCACATATACAATGGTGACTCTAAAGATTATAATGGAGCTAAAGCACGCCTACCACCTAGTGATGTCTTGATAATCCTGACCCTGTGTAGGCCAAAGCTAACATGTGTGCTTGTGTCTTGGTTTTTAACAAAAAAGTTTACAGAGCTAAAAAAAATTTTTAATAGGAAAAGCTTATAGAATAAGGATATAAAGAAAAATATTTGTGTACAGCTATACAGTGTGTTTGTGTTTGAAGCTGTGTTATTACGAAAGAGTCAAAAAATTTAAAAAGTTTGTAAAGTGAAAAAATTACAAGAAACTCATAATAATTTGTTATTGGAGAAAGAAAACATTTAAAAATAAATTTAGTGTAGCCTAAGTGTACAGTGTTTATAAAGTCTATAGTAGCGTAAGTAATGTCCGAGGTCTTCACATTGACTCAGCGCTTACTCGTTGACTCACCCAGAGCAACTTCTAGTCCTACAGGCTCCAGTCATGGTGACTGCCCTGTACAGGTGTACCAGTTTTTATATTGTACTTTTACGGTAGCTTTTCTATGTTTAGATACACAAGTGCTTACTATTGTGTTATAGTTGCTTTCATCATTTACTGCAGTAACATGCTGTACAGGTTTGTAGCCTCCAAGCGATGGCTAGACCACATAGGTGAGATGTGTAGTAGGCTACACCATCTACGTTTGTGTAAGTACACTCCATGATGTTTGCACAGCGATGGAATCACCTAATGATGCGTTTCTCAGAATGTATCCTCATTGTTAAGCAAAGCAGGACTGTACTGGGAATGTGTGCTTTGGATTTAGCAACAAGGAGTTGGTTGGTATTTTTGGTAGAAACAGTTCTGGTGGAATGGTGGAATGGTAGGGTTAGAAACCAGATCACAGTGAGGTCCAGAGTGAACGAGAGATGAGCAGGTAAAGGCAGTGAGTATGGGTCATTATTTATTTTTTTTTTTTTTGGAAAGCAAGATTTATTGAGAGCACAGAAAAGCTCCCACAGTGGGAGGGACCCGAAGGGGTTGCCCTGGGTCACTACTTCAAGAAGCTGTTTGTGAGGGGCAGGAGAAAATAAAGTCACTGCTGAGAAATAGGGTGGTTGCTGAGGTGGAAGAAATTTTTTCTTTAAGTTAGGGGAACTTTTAACATATTTAAATCTAATGGGACAAGCCATGGACTAGTAGGTATTTGATCAGTATAGATTTCATGAATGCATGAGTGAAGATTAATTTGGGAGAAGCTAAAGGTGTACAAGAGAGGAAATAATTTGATAGTGTAAAGTCACTGATAAGGTGGGACAGAATGGGAGGCAGATTCTGCCTCAACATTTAAGGTTTCTTCTAATAGAGCTATCCAACTCTAATAGAGTTATCATTTGGCAGTGGGGATACCCTTCTAGCAATCCAGGTGGGTGAGCTCTCTGCTGAAAGATACCTGATTAAATTTCTACAATAAATCAAAAAGATTAGCTGGGTGTGGTAGCATGCGCCTGTAGTTCTAGCTACTTGGAAGGCTGAGGCGGAAGGATCACCGGAGCCCAGCAGGTCGAGGCTGCGGTGGCCGGGAACGGCCACTGCACTCCAGTTTGGGCGACAGTGAGACTCCAACTCAAAAAAAAAAAAAAAAAAAAAAAAAGATTGGATGGTGATGTGAGAATGTTATGTTGAGGGAATGTGAATAATCTTGCTACAGGGTAAGGGTTTGGTATAGGTGAACATCTAAGCCTCTTTCTATTATATTCTGTGATTTTTAAAAAAATTCCAGTCTTAACTAGCATTTATATTTCAACATGAATTATGTTAACCTAGTAAAGCTTATTGATCAACTATAAGTGTTTGACTTCTTAGATATGGTATAGCTTAAAAGTACTTGTCTTTGATGTGTGAATTAGGTCTGCCGGGATCTTCATGTATCAACTGCAGAATTTACAGACTTGAAGCAACAATTGGAAAGAAACTCAGTTGTCCTAAGTTTGCTTAAACAGCTACAAGAGGTCAGTAAACTCAACTTGAGCTTTAGTGTTTTGGTGGTAAGAAAGTTACTTTTTTTTCCAATGGATATCCCCTGACTATCTGGTGTTGGTTTTGTTTCATATCTTAAAAGCAAACAGACTTGAAATAAGAGATGTATAAAATGTTGTACTTAACTTTTCAGTTTTCTACTGCTATTGAAGAATATAATTGTGCATTTACAGAGAAGAAGTATGTCACTGCTGCTCGGCATCTTGAAGAGGTACTGAATGTTTTCTCCTAAGCATGAGCAATTAGTGCTCTTCTTGTTTTCAGTAAATTTTATATTCTTTATCATTATACAAAATATATTCTAATTACCCTGAGTCCAGATGGAATGTTTAACAATGATTCCATTTCACTATCAGGCGCAGAAATGTTTGAAGTTACTAAAATCCAGAAAATGCTTTGATTTAAAAATATTGAAATCTCTCAGCATGGAGTTCACAATACAGAAACAGAACATACTTTATCACCTTGGAGAAGAGTGGCAGAAGTTGATTGTGTGGAAGTTCCCACCATCAGGAGGTGCTGCTGACTTCAGGTGGACTGCTTTGCTTAATCTGCCTGAACCAGTTTGGTGTCTGAATATACTCTAAATATTTTATATTGGGAGGCAAAGAGGTTTTGTTCATAATCGTTCAAATCTATATTGAGTGCCCATGTTAAGCAAGATGCTTTCTTAGGATCAGCTCATCTGGGTCCCTAAGATGTCCTCACTGTCCCTTTTATCCCTCTTTCTGTCTCCTTCCCTAGGAATATAAGGAAAGATGATATGGTTGTTGGTGTCCCCATGGTAAGGGTATGTTAGAGAAGGTGGTAGCAGTTTGAGACCGCATTAAGTTTCCGATGCCTTATAGGACACATGTTCCCAACAGCCTAATCCTAACAGTTTATCTTGGCTAGAAAGCTTAAAGGAGCTTGTCACCCATTCCCTCTCTTGCTGAGGAAAGAAGACAGGGAGTTAGTGGGCGAGCTGGTAGAGGAAAAACTCAATATTTTTCTAGTCCTTAAGGAAAATCATGAGATAGGAGGTGCTTTGCAAGTGAAGAAACAGAATTATTCCATTCCTGGCTTTAATTTATGCTACTGGCATAATCAGCTGTTCTGCCCATCTCTGGGTGTAAGCTGCCTATGGTGTGTTGTTTGTTCTGAGAGTAAAACCTCAGAGGGTGTATGTAAAGGAAAAATGCTCTTGGACTTGGTGTATCTTCCAACACTGGATCTTAAAATTCAGTGTAGTTCAGGGGAAACCTTACAGAACTCCCCTGCTCCCTTTCCTGTATCCACCATGGCTCACCATTATATTGGGTATGTATGTGTGTATACAGACACACATATGTCTCTTGAGGAGAGTAGTCTAGAAAATTTTAGATTCTATTCCCAAGTAGATTTTAAATTAAGAGAAGAGGACAGGTGTGTTGAAATCTTTGCTATTAAACATCCTACCTGTTACATTTATTTGGTAGAAGGAACACAGAAGAGTTCTGTGAAATTAGGAACTCACTTTTTATTCCTTGCCTTCATTCATTGATTTAATATGTATTTAGTAAGGATTTCTTGTAGGCACATCATCTTTCTTTTTGTGCTTAGTTTAATTCTTTGAACATACCAAAGCAAGTCATTTCCTGTTTTAGAGTGATCCCAAGGACATGGATGTCATAATTAATATTTGGTTGCATTAGGAGTATATTGCAATAAAACTGCATTTAGAAATCTCAGTAGGGAAAGTGCTCTGGGGACTAGAAGTGGGAACATCTCGCTGAAACAGCTAATATTTCCCCCCCTTTTTCATGTACACGAGCAGCTTGGAATCTTGCCTACAAACAGAACTTCATTTTTGCACTGAACAGTCCCAGAAAGAGGAGACCCCTATGCCACCCATCAGTTCTGTCCTCTTGGCATTTTCTATTCTTGGAGAACTACACACCAAGCTTAAATCATTTGGTAAAGTATGCTACTTTGTTTCATTTACATGAAATCTCAGAAGACCCAGTGTTAAAGGAATGACAGAAAAGATTATGAAATATTTTCTGGAGAGTAGTAATACAGAGTTTGGCCTCTTGATTCATCAAAGGGTATTGTCATAAATATTTCCCTTTTTATTAAGGGCTTGGAGCCTTTTTGTTTTGTTTTGTTTTGTTTGAGTCAGGGTCTCACTCTGTTACTCAGGCTGGTGTGCAGTGACACGATCATGGTTCACTGCAACCATGACCTCCTGGGCTCAGGTGATCCTTCTGCCTCAGCCTCCCAAGTCACTGGGACTACAGGCATGTACCACCATGCCCAGATAATTTTTTGATTTTTTGTAGGGTCAAGGTCTTGCTATGTGACCCAGGCGGTCTTCAACTCTTGGGCTCAAGTGATTCTTCCGACTTGGCTTTCCAAAATGCTGGGATTGCAGGCATAAGCCATCACTCCTGACTGGATCCTTTTTTTTTTTTAAGTTTCTGTTTGTTTTATTTGGTTTTTGAAATTATTTAAATAAAAATCTGTAGATAGTCTGGGAAACTTCAGTGGGAAAATCTGTAGTGTGGTTGGTGTGCAATATTATGGTATATATGTTTTGGTTGTTAGGCTTAAAGTCTCATGTATTTTTATTTGATATGCTTACTTTTTATAAGTTTTATCTAGTGATTTTTGATAAATGTTCATATGTTTTTTCAGGTCAGATGCTGCTGAAGTATATCCTTAAACCTCTGGCATCTTACCCATCCTTGTATGCTGTGGTAGAAAGCCAGCCTAGCATAGTTATTGTTCGTTTTGAATCTGTAATTACTAACTTGGAATATCCATCTCCATCTGAAGTTTTTGCAAAGATCAGATTGGTACTGGAAGTGGTCCAGAAACAACTTCTAGGTACGTATCCCAAGGTAGTACTTTTAAATTTGGAAAAGTAGCTGGGCACGGTGGCTCATGCCTGTACTTTGGGAGGCAGAGGCTAGAGGACTGCCTGAGTCCAGGGGTTCGAGACCAGCCTAGGCAACATGGTAAGACCTAGTCTCTATAATAAATTAAAAAAATTAGCCAGGTGTGTTGGTGTGCGTCGTGGTTCCAGTCACTTGGAATGCTGAGACAGAAGGATCACCTGAACCCAGCAGGTTGAGGCTGCGGTGGCTGTGAGCGTGCCATTGCACTCCACCTGGGTAACAGAGTGAGACTCTGACTCTAAAAAAAAAAAATTGGAAAAGTAAATAGTGTTTTTAAAAGTAAATATTATTTTAAAGTAGAAGTGCCCATAATGTGAGTGAAGGGAGGATCAGAAGTGAGTAAGATGTGCCCTAGTAACAAAGCCTTCTTGTTTCTTGCCTTCTTTGCCTTCCTTCTCTGCCCTGCCTTGACAGTAGGGTCAGCAGTGGTATTCCAGATACTGTACAGTGCTTGTAGTATTTGTTTTAGCTGAATTCAAGGATGCACTCCTCTCACTGGGCTTCCAGTAACATCTCATTTTGGGACTCTTGCTTTAATTATAGGAGAACCAGAAATGAACCAAGTTTTACATATTTCGATGAAAATCCCCACTAATTTCCTAGAAACAAACCAGGTTCAACATGGGAAATGAATTATCTTTCATCTCAGCCTGTTGGTTAGGTTTCTTTGTTGTTTGAATCTTTTTTTTTGGTTGTCAGACCATTAAGAGTGATGTTTCTTCCTGTGTTTTATTTTAATTCTGTGTTGTTTTTAGTCTGTCTGACTTTCTTTATGCATTTCTTAGTTGTCTTGGACAGCCTGGCCAATGATTCTTCTTGTAGAGAAAATAAAAAAGAAATGCTGCTATTGTTTGTGTCCTTTCCTGGCTGTCATATACTGTTTTTTTGTATATCAATAATTTATATGTAAAACAAGGAATTCTTTCTATAGTTTTGATGCGAGCAGAGAAGAAAAAAATCCTAAGGCTTGCATAAACTTCAGGAATCCAAGGTGGTTTTTCTTGTTCCTAGTTTCTTCTCTTAGGGAGAAATACAATTTTATTTTCATTAGCTATAAATTTAAGTTGTAAACAAAGCATCTGAGGATGGGAAAGAAGTGGAGAGGTGATTCAGTCCAAGTATGTCAGAGGCTCAAAATCTCTCTAACACTCCACCCTGGGGCAACTGAGTACTAGGAAGGCTTTGTTTTGTTTTCCAAAAATCTTATATCCTGTCTGTACTAAAGACCATTACTGAAATGCCCATTTTGTAAATTAAATCTTTAGGGTAGTTGTTTTAAAGGCTTGTTCAAACTGTTTTATCCTGTAATGTCTGCTTTACTGATGCTGTTTCTGTTCAGTGAATTTCTATTACATATGATGAATTTTCAAATTCTTTACAGTAGCTGATATTTTCCTTATATCTTATTGCTAGTATAAATAGCATTCGGTATTTTTGAATGACATAGTTTTAAGTTCCCCATGTTTTCATTGCTTTTCTGGGACTGACAGGTTTGTTTTTTCCTGGAGTCTCCTTTTGTTACAAATGACCTTCTTGCCGTGTCCTTAGGTGGCGTTTTTTCTCTGTGACTTGCATCCTGCAGTCTCTTCCTCTTCTTGAAAGGACACCAGCCATGTTGAATCAGGGCCCCATCCTTAGGACCTTATTAACTTTAATTACCTATTTAAGGTCCCTACATTGGAGATATCGCAGATTCAGTTCTAGACCACTGCCATAAAGTGAATATCCCAATAAAATGAGTCACACAAATTTTTTGGTTTCCTAGTGCTTTTGAAATTTATGTTTATACCATACTGTAGTCAATTAAGTACACAACAGCATTATGTATCAAAAATGTGCATAACAATTAAGAATATTGCTAAAAAATGCTAATGATCATCTGAGCCTTCAGTGTGTCGTCGTTTTTGCTGGTGGAGGGTCTTGCCTCAGCGTTGATGGCTGCTGACTGATGGGGTGGTGGTTGCTGACGGTTGGTTGGCTGTGGCAGTTTCTTAAGATAAGGAAAGTTTGCCTTATCAATTGACTTCCTTTGAAAGGAACATGGCGGTGCTGGTGATAGTATTTTACCTACAGTAGCACTTCCGCCAACATTGGAGTCAGTCCTCTCACCCCGCCACTACTTTATCGGCTAAGTTTATGTAATAATCGATAGCCTTTGATGTCATGTCATAGCATCTTCTTCACCAGCAGTAGATTCCATCTCAAGAAACTATTTTTTTTGCTCATCCATAAGATGCGACCCTTCATCTAGTTAAGTTTTATCATGAGATTGCAGCAATTTAGTCACTTCTTCAGGCTTTATTTCTTTTTATTTTTTTATGTTTTGAGTTGGAGTCTCACTCTATCATCCAGGCTGGAGTGCCGTGGTATACTCATGGCCACCCCAGCCTCGACCTGCCATACTCAGGCACTCCTTCTGCCTCAGCCTCCAAGTAGCTTGAACTACAGGCGTGTGCCACCATGCCTGGCTAAATGTTTTTGATTTACTGTAGAGATAAGGTCTCACTAAGTTGCCCAAGCTGGCCTCTAAACCCTGATCTCAGGCTTTCTCTTGCCTTGGCCTCCCAAAGTGCTGGGATTTCAAGCTTGAGCCACCATACCTGGCCAGGCTTTATTTCTAATTCTAGTTCTCTTGCCAGTTCTACCACATCTGCAGTTACTTCCTCCATGGAAGTCTTGAACCTCTGAAAGTCAACCAAGAGCTTCTTTTAAGCTACTATTAATGTTGCTGTTTTGATCTCTTCCTGTGAATCATGCATGCTCTTAATAGCATCTAGAATGGTGAAGGTTTCTCAGAGTGATTTCAGAAGATTATAAAATGTATTTCTTAAACAATAAGGCTTGAGAGTCAAAATTGCTTCTTGATTCCTGGGCTACAGAATGACTGTTGTATGAGCACGAAACAATATTAACTCCTTGTATATCACCATCAGAACTCTTGGGTGACCAGATGCAATCAGTGAGCAGTAATATTTTGAAAGGAATGTTGTTTTTCTTCTGAGCAGTAGATCTCAATAATGGGCTTAAAATATTCAGTAAACCATGCTGTTACAGATGTGCTGTCATCTAGACTTTGTTGTTTCATTTCTAGTGCTCAGGCAGAGTGGATTTAGCATAATTCTCTTTTTTTTGAGTCAGAGTCTCACTCTGTTGCCCAGACTGGAGTGCAGTGGCACGCTCAGCCATCACAGCCTCAACCTGCTTGGCTCAGCCTTCCAATTAGCTGGAACTACAAGCACACGCTACCACTCCCGGCTAATTTTTTGATTTATTGTAGAGATGAGGTTTTGCCAATTTGCCCAGGCTGGTCTCAAACCCCTGGGCTCAGGCAGTCTTCTTGCCTCGGCCTCCCAAAGTGCTGGGATTACAGGCTTGAGCCACTGTGCCCAGCCCTAGCATAATTCTTAAGGGCCCTGTGGTTTTTTGGAATGGTTAATTAGCTTCATCTTCAACTTCAAGTCACCAGCTGCACTAACCCCTAACAAGAGAGTCAGCCTATCCTTTGAAACTTTGAAGGCAGGTATTGTCTTTTCCTTCTTAGCTATGAAAGTCCTCGATGGCACCTTCTTCCGATATAAAGCTGTTTTGTTTATGTTGAAAATCTGTTGTTTAGTGTAGCCACCTTCTGAAGATCAGCTTCTAGTGCAGCTTGATCTTCTGGATAACTTGTTACAGCTTCTGCATCAGCACTTGCTGTTTCACCTTGAGCTTTTTTATTATGGAGGCAACTTCCTTTCTCATGGACTCTCATCAACCTCATGGGCTCTACTAGCTTCACATTTTTTTTCTGCATCCTCCTCATCTCTCTGAACTTTAATAGAATTGAAGAGAGTTAGGGCCTCGCTCTGGATTAGACTTTGGCTTAAGGCAGTGTTGTGACTGACTTGATCTTTTATTCAGACCACTAAAACTTTCTCCATATCATAAATAAAGTTGTTTCACTTTTGTATCATTCACGTGTTCACTAGAATAACACTTTAAGTTTCCTCCGACAACTTTTCTTTCACATTCATAACTTGACTAAGTGTTTGGTACAAGAGGCCTAGCTTGTGGCCTATCTCAGCCTTTGACATGCCTTCTTCACAAGCTTTAGCACTTCTAGTTTTAATATAAAGTGAGAGACATGCGACTCATCCTTTCACTTGAACACTTAGAAGCTATTGTAGGGTTATTAGTTGGTCTAATTTCAATGTTGTGTCTCAGGGAATAGGGAGTCCTAGGAGATGGAAAGGGATGAGGGTTGGAGGGGTAGGGCATAGGGAGATGGCTGGTCAGCAGAGCAAAGAACATGCGACATTTATTGATCAAATTCATTGTTTTACACGGGAGCAGTTTGTGGTACCTCAAAACAATTACAATGGTAACATCAAATATTACGGATCACACATCATCATAACAAATATAATAATGAAAAAGTTTGAAACATTGTGAGAATTGTCAAAATGTGACAGAGACATGAAGTGAGGATATGCTGTTGGAAAAAATGGTGCTAATAGATTTGCTTAACTCAGGGTTACCACAAACCTTCAACTTGTTAAAAAAACACAGTAAAGTGAAACGTTATAAAACAAGGTATGCCTGTACATCCAAATAGCGTCACATTGGAGGTTTGGACTTCAACATATGAGTATGTAGGGCTACAATATAATTCACATACATATATTTATCTTGTTTGTGTGCACTGTGATATCGGTAAGAAAACATGAAGTACCTTATCATTTTTTATCTTTGATTATCTGAATAAATCTGGGGTTTTTTGTGTGTGTGTGAGTGTTAGAGTTTCACTCTGTTGCCCAGGCTAGAGTGCAGTGGCATGCTCACAGCCACCGCAGCCTTGACCTGCTGGGCTTAGGTGATCCTTCTGCCTCAGCCTTTCATGTAGCTGGAACTACAGACTCATGCCACTATGCCCGGCTATTTTTGTGATTTATTGTAGAATCGAGGTCTCACCAAGTTGCCCACGCTGGTCTCAAACCCCTGGGCTCAGGCAATCCTCTCACCTCAGCCTCCCAAAGTGCTGTGATTACAGTCTGAGCCACTGCGCCTGACCAAATCTGGTTTTTTTAACCTAGCATACCACTGGAACACTCTCCAGTGTAATACACATTAATTTTTAAAAATATCTTGCTGAAATTCTTTGACAAATATGAAAGGCTAAAAATATCTATGTAGGAGATTTTTTTTTTTCAGGCTGTGAATTGAGAGTGTCTCTGCAAATGTGGAAATCTTTTTAGACAAAATTTGCCCAAAGTATCATCGAAAGCTAAAGGGAGAGGTGGTGAGGGCACACAGCCACTCATTGGGTGCCATGTCTACCACCAGGGGGAGAGAGGGCTCTCTGGAAGCACAGACCTCACCTGCACACAATTTACTTATGTAGTAAATCCTCACATCTGCCCCACAACTCTTTTTATTTTTATTTTTTTATAATCAATATTTTTTATTATGATATTGTGGAGTACAGTTAAGGGTTAGGTATACAAATATGCTTTGTTCAGGCACCCTTGTTGATAAGAGGTGTCTCCCCGTCTCCAGACAGATATTTACTACCATTAATCCCATCTCCTTCCCCCTCTATAGTTTCCCACCACTGTCAGTCATTTTCTTATGGTAATACATTGAATGATCAAGGTCCACTATATGAGTGAGAACATGTGATACTTAGATCTTTGTTTCTGTGAGAGGTCACTCAGTATTATAGACTCTAGTTCCATCCAGGTTGCTGTGAAATTCATGATTTTGTTCTTTTTTATGGCTGTGTAGTATTCCGTTGTGTATATGTACCACATTTTTTTAATCCAGTCCTCTTTTGATGGACAGCATAGTTGCTTCTAGGTTCTTGCTATTGTGAACAATGCTGCGATAAACATACATGTGCAGGTATCTTTTTGATAGAGTGATTTGAGTTCTTCAGGGTATATTCCCAGTAGGGGGATTGCGGGGTCAAAAAAAAAGAAAAATATTTGCAACTTTTCAGAAGCTGAATCAATTGACCTTTGATGTTGTAAGAAAGGTATTATATTTTATGGACAACATTCTGTGGTATCTTTTATTGAAGAGTTTTAAAAACATTTTTAAAAACTTTAGAGACAGTGTCTCACTCTGTTGCTCAGACTGGAGTGTAGTGGTGCAAACATAGCTCACTGCAGTCTCAGCCTTTTGAGCTCAAGTGATTCTCCTGTCCCAGCCTCCCAAACAGCTAGGACGACAGGCATGCACCACCACACCCAGCTATTTTTTATTTTTTGTAGAGTCTGAGTCTCTCTATGTTGCCCAGGCTGGTCTCAAACTCCTGGCCTCCCAAATCGTGGAATTACAGGTGTGAGCCACTATACCCAGCTTATCACTGAAGATCTTTGACATTAAAAAAATATATACTTTTTCTGCCAGGAGGAGAAAATATTAAAAAATATATCCTTTTTTTTTTTGCACTTTGGGAGGCAGAGGCAAAAGGATGGCCTGAGCCCAGGGCTTTAAGACCAGCCAGGGCAACTTGGCAAGACCTTGTCTCTACAATAAATAAAAAAATTAGCTGAGTCTGATGGCTCATGCCTGTGATTCCAGCTACTGGGAAGGCTGAGGCAGGAGGATTGCCTGAGCCTAGCAGGTCAAGGATGTAGTAGCTATGAGCATGCCATTGCACTCCAGGGCAACAAAATGTGATTCCAGATCAAATATATATGTGTCTATATATTTTTTCTTTCTTCAAAAAACAAATTTTTTTTTGAGTTGGAGTCTCACTCCGTCGCCCAGACTAGAGTGCAGTGGCACTCCCATTACTACCCCAGTGTCGACCTGCTGGGCTCAGGCCATCCTTCCGCCTCAGCCTTCAAAGTAGCTGGAACTACAGGCACGCGCTACCACACCTGGCTAATTTTTTAAAAATTTATTTTAGCGACGAGATCTTATGGATAAAGCTACCATAAGATATACTAGAGGGGAAATATTGAAATATTCTATTTGGTAGACTAAATATTATGTTTTAATGTAAGGCACTTGTTGATACTTTTAAACACTCAGATCTTATCAGAGATAGAAAAGTATTTTTCTTCATTATTACAAAAAAGTAGGATTTTATTCTAAACTAGTTTCAGATTGGAGTGCACAGCTTCTGAATACTTGTCATATTATCAGATCAGTAACTTCACAGTAGATGATTACAATGTAGATGACTTAATACCTTATTGTTACAGAGTACAGGCAGTAATATAGTGCAGATGGTTCATTTGAGCAGTGAAAATAAAATAATAATAATCGTATGTCATGCTGTCTCCCACACAGTCAGTTGAGATGGCTGTAGAATTATCAGTGCTGTTTTCTTCCCCATCATCTTAAAATTAAAGAATGCTAGAAAACTAGAGAACTTAAGAGTATATTAGAACTGAAAATGGTTTTTTGTTTAAAACTTTTTCTTTTGAATTCAGATTTGCCAGTTGACACAGACCTAGAAAATGAAAAATTATCTACAACGGCATTGACTGAGATGCTTGGTGACATGATCTGGGAGGACTTGTCTGAGTGCCTCATCCAAAACTGTTTGGTTTATTCAATTCCAACAAATAGCAGCAAGTTACAGCAATATAAAGAGGTAAAAAAACAGAGATATCACAGAAGGTTTTAAGATGATTCCTATTGCTGACTGGTTTTTCCCTGGAGCTCTTTTGTTCTTCAGTAATACTCTTGAGAAAATTATCAATAAGGAGGGGGAGCAAATTCCATATAACTTCATTTCTCTCTAGGCTTACTACTTCTAATTAGGAAAGTATTTATTTACTTATTTTTAAAGCTGTATTTATTGAGAGAACAGAAAAGCTCCCACAGTGGGAGGGGACCTGAGGGGTTGCCAAGTATTTTTTTTTTTTTATAAAGCATATGTTATTCATTGTTCTTTTATGCTTCTAACAGCTATAGTGGCTATCGTATGATACTTTTTGCTTTTTTTTAGTGTTTTTTTGAATGCTAAAATAAGTATATTTACTTTAAAGGTCTTTGCACCTTTACTGAGTAGAGACAAATTTCTATTGAAGGTACTCTTCCTAATGAATTTAAAGCTGAAAAAAAATGTGTATTTTTATACCTAGTAATTGATGAAAAGTTTGCTTGAAAAGTTAAATGACCAGCTTGGTCCTTGCTCTTTTTTATGCATTGGACTTGAAATTTTATTATTGAAATGGAATATATGTATATAATTCCTTTCTTTTTTTTTCTTGTGTTTCTTAGATTATACAGTCCACTGAGGAATTTGAAAATGCCCTAAAGGAGATGAGGTTTTTAAAAGGAGACACTACAGATTTGCTGAAATATGCCCGTAACATCAATTCTCATTTTGCTAACAAGAAGTGCCAGGATGTGATTGTGGCAGCCAGAAACCTAATGACCTCTGAAATTCACAACACTGTGAAGGTACCATAGTTATATTACATTGTATTTAGGAAGCAGCTCATTTTTGAGATGCTTATGGTAAAGTGGAAGAGAGCATGACAGTTGCTGAGCTCAGAGAATCAAGTTATTACTCCTCTGAACATTATTAGTTTTGTCCCCTTATAGTGGTCCTAATCTCTACCTCTTTCATTGGGTATTGTGAGGTCCAGATAAGATAATGCACATGGAAGCTGTGTATGGATTAAAAACGTTTACATAAATGTAATGGACTGCTATTGTTGAAATTAGTAGATTATTCTCTTGTTTATTACTTGAGGGTTTGGTACACATTTTTTTTTTTTTTGAGTTGGATCTCACTCTGTCACCCAGACTGGAGTGCAGTGGACGTTCCTGGCCACTGCAACCTCGACCTGCTGGGCTCAGGCGATCCTTCCGCCTCAGCCTTCCAGGTAGCTGGAACTACAGTCGCACACTACCACGCCCGACTAATTTTTTGATTTATTGTAGACATGAGGTCTCACCAAGTTGCCCAGGCAGGGTCTTGAACCCGCGGGCTCAGGCAATCCACTCACCTCAGCCTCCCAAGGTGCAGGATTATAGGCTGAGCCACCAAGCCTGGCCTAGTACACATTTTTGTGTCAGGTATACTTGGGCTTTATTATGTGCAGAGATGATATCCTATTGTGAAAATGCTGACTTCATCTCCTAGGCTAATAGATGGACTAGTTTTGAAACTAAAACAATAGAACAAGTAAACAAAAAGAGTATAAATAATTATTTTGTAAACATAGTGGACTAATTTGCGTTGAGGGTAATTTACACCTTTGACTTTAAAAATGCATTTTCTTCTTTTTCATATCTTATATGTAAGATATAATTGATATGCCTTGTATTTGGCCAATACAAGACATTACCAAGAATAAAACAAAACATAGTAGACTAAGGTAACTCCTTAATAGAAGATTCCTTAGCCATTTTTCTTCTATCATTGAGGGGATTGGACTCTTAATCCCTTCTGCCATCTCTCGTTTTCATTGGGGTGCCTTATTGTGTCCGTGTCCATGGGATATTTTAACTAGCCATTTGAAGTGCATAACTATTAACACATTCTGGGGTGATTTGGGATTGTTAAGGGAGCCAAAATTTATTCAGTACCAAAACTGTGCTGTGGTTTTTTCAAACATCGATGTCACTTGAGATGTCACTTTTTGGAGTGAAGTCCTGTGGCTTCCCATCTCGTTTAGAGAAAGACTGGGTAGGACTTACAGTGACCTGCAGGGCCTCATCTGATCTGCCTCCCATTGTCTCTTGGACTCTACATCCTGTCACATTCTTGCATCGCATCACCCTGGGCTAATTGCTGTCCCTTGAATATGCTGGGCACACTTGACTGAGGGTCTTTGAACCTCTTCTCCCTCTGCTTGCAACAGTCTTGGCAAAAGTACCCACATGACTTGCTTTTTAAAAAGCACTTCCTGACCACCTTTTTAAAAATTGTGACCTTTTCCTATTTCTCATATCCCTTCTTTGTTTTATTTTTCTTTATATTGCTTATTACCAACCAACATTTTGTGTGAACCATTATTTCTCCTTCTCTAGAAAGTAAACTCCATTGGCTGGGTGCAGTGGCTCAGCCTGTAACCCCAGCACTTTGGGAGGCTGAGGCGAGAGGATTGCCTGAGCCCAGGGTTTTGAGACCAGCCTGGGCAAATTGGTGAGACCTCGTCTCTACAAAAATTAAAAAAAAAAAAAAAAAAAAAGAAAACACTGGGCATGGTAGTGGATACCTGTAGTTCCAGCTACTTGGAATGCTGAGGCAGAAGGATCGTCTAAGCCCAGCAGGCTGAGGCTGTGGTGGCCGTGAGTGTGCCACTGCACACCAGCCTGGGCTGCAGAGTTAGACTCCAACTGAAAAAAAGAAAAAAAAAAAAGAAAGTAAGCTCCATGAGGCAGAGGTCTTTGTTCTTGTTGTTTTTTTATTCACTATTTTTTTCTTTTTTAACTGTTGTAGCTTTAGCACCAAGAAAATGCCTGTTACATACTGCCATGTATCCAGTGCTCAGTTGCTTATTGAATACCTTCAGTAAATGAATTAGTGTATATCTCACCTCTGTAACAACTCCTTGATGTAAACAGTATTGTTTCTGGATTGCTCTGTGATTCTGGGTGTAATCTTTTCATCTCGTTGAACTTCATTTTCTTCTGTGTCGTGAACTAGATAATCTGCACTTCCTACCAAGTAGTCCTGACATTCTGTAAAACTGCATTTTTCTTGAGTATGCAAAGTCTAATGTACCTTCCTGTCGGTCAGGGCTTCTCCACAGTGGCATTGTTGACATTTGGGTCCAGATAATTCTATGCTATGGGGGGATTGTTCTGTGGAACTTTTTTTTTTGAGTAGGAGTCTCATTCTATCACCCAGACTGGAATGCAGTGGCACGCTCATGGCCACTCAACCTTGACCTGCTGGGCTCAGGTGATTCTTCTGCCTCAGTCTTCCAAGTAACTGGAACCACAGGCACCTACCACCACGCCTGGGTAGTTTTTTGACTTATTGTAGAGCCAAGGTCTTACCAAGTTGCCCAGGCTGGTCTCGAATCCCTGGACTCAGGCAATCCTCTCGCCTCTGTCCCCCAAAATGCTGGGATTGCAGGTATGAGCCACCACGCCTGGCTCCTGTGGGATGTTTAGCAGCATACCTGACTTCTATCCACTAAACGCCAGTAGCATCTCTCCCAGTTATGGTAACCAAAAATATCTCCAGATATTGCCAAATGTTATGTGAAGGAAAGATTGTCCCTGATTGAAAACCACTGCTTTAGATTCTAACATGGGTCTTTCTCTTGGTATTTAGGCTCTGGAATTAGATCTTCTAAACTGCCCAACTTTGAACATCTCTTCCCTTTTCTAAAAACTGTTTTCAGATTCATTGCTTTTCATGGTCTTTATCACAATTCTCTTCATTTCCCTGTTTGTACTTGTGTACTTCCTATTTTCCCAAAAGATCTGTAAGGTGGTTTTTGGTTTTGTTTTGTTTTTTACTTCACTTTGCTCCCAGGCTGCATTGCAGTGAAATGATCATGGTTTACAGAAACCTTGAACTCCTAAGCCCAGGTGATCCTTCCACCTCAGCCTCCCAAATAGCTGGGAACAGGTGTGTGCTGCCACACCTGGCTAATTTTTTGATTTTTTTGTAGAGGTGAGTTCTTGCTGTGTTGCCCAGACTGGTCTCGAATTCCTGAGTTCAAGTAGTTCTCTCACCTTGTCCTCCCAAAGTGCTGGATTACAGGTGTGAGTCACCACGCCTGGCCTCTTTGTTTTGTTTTTACATTTTGACTTGAGCGATATCATATTAGATCTTATATTCTTGCATCTTAGTTTCCTTTGTCCTCCTCATGAAGTCACTTTCTTGAGTCATATGATTCTGGGCCCATTATTTTTCAGACAAACATTAGCATTTTAAAATCATCTCTATAATTATGTTTTTTTCCTCAACATTTCATTCTAAGCCTTCATTTTTGACTACTTGGAACCTAACATTTGTATTTCCATTTAAACTTTATAACGGCCCTTTGAAGTATGTATTATTATGCCATTTTACAGATTAGGAGGCCAAGTCTACTGGCTTAAACAGTTTTGTTAGACTTTGAATTTTCTTTTATTTGTTTTATTTGAAAGTTGTGTGGTTCAAATCAGCTTTGGGCACATAAGTAGTTTAAGTGGAGATGAAGTTTTGGGTCTTCCATTGGATCTCACTTCTCCAGGATTAGGAGCAGGCATCCTTACTGATGTTATATGCCCCCAGCCTCCCCCAGCAGAGCCTTGCTACTACTAATCCCATTTGTGTAGTATTATGATAGATGTTCAGGGTCCATTTATGAGTGAGAACATGTGGTACTCAGTTCTTTGTTTCTGTGATAGATCACTGAGTGTGATCGACTCCAAATCCATCCAGAAAATTTCCGTAGAATTTCTGCATGTGCCAAGCACAGCTTCTATTCTGACTGTGGGAGTAGGAATCTCTTACCTCCAACTGCCTTATCTTTCTCTTGTGTTTCTTTTCTTTTTTTAATCCCTGGGGCATCTTTGAGAAGCAAGTCTTGAAAGCCATTATTAGTACAGTTTATTCATTTTACAATGAGAAAATTGAGGTCCAGAGGGTTAAATCAGTGGTCCCCAACCTTTTTGACATCAGGGACCAGCTTCTTGAAGACAGTTTTTCCTCGCGGGGGTGGGGAAGGGTCTTCAGGCAATCATCAGGCATTGGATTCTCATAGGGAGCAGGCGTCCTAGATTCCTCCCATGTGCATTTCACAATAGGGTTCTTGCTCCTATGAGAATCTAATGCTGGTGCTGATCTGACAGCAGGTGGAGCTACGCTGGCCCACAGCTCAACTCCTGCTGTGCAGCCCAGTTCGTAATGGCTACAGACCGTTACAGGGTCTGGGTTAAATGACTTCACTAAAAGTTAGGATAAAAAATATGACTGTTTCCAGATTGATTGTCTACTATTCTTTTATTTAATTCCAAACTAAGTCTGATAATTTTTGTACTAAATAAACATTAGGGAGATTTTTTTGGCTTGCCTTTGAAGTTTTTTTTTTTTATTTAAGGCAAGGATATCCTAGTCTGAATAAGTTATTTCTTAGACTAATCCAACACATGTTCCTGGTGTGAAATAATTTGTTTAATTATCTAGATGGTGGAACACAAAATTATAGTATTAAATAATCTAGTATGAGAAAGATGATTTTTGAAGGTCTTTTCATTGACCTGAAATCTTAAGCCAGTTGTACAACTTTGCTATTTCGGCTAAGATTAAGAGTACTTGGGGAATTTCACAGTAAAGGGGATCGCTTATTTCATATGATATGCTCTCACCCAAGATTGAGTAGCCATTACAGTACTGCCGTATGTACTCAAGTCTTTTAATTACTTTGTAGAGCCATAGTTTTATCACCATGGAAGCAACCAGTACCTTATTCCTCACTGAATGCTTACATTTGAATTATTCTGAAAACAATACATTTTCTATGTTCCTATGTTTCTATGTTTGAACCTTAGATTACTCCTGATTGCAAGATAAGTGTGCCAGAGTTACCCAGTCCTGATGAGGATAACAGGCTAGAAGTAGCAAAAGCATCCAAAACTCAGTACAACAAAGTGGTGAATTTAAAGCCTGAAAATACATTGGACCAACATTCCTTTTCTTTGCCCACATGCCGCATCAGTGAGTCTGTGAAGAAGCTAATGGAACTTGCTTATCAGACTTTACTAGAAGCAACAACCAGTGGTGATCAATGGTACGAGTGCTGGATTGTGGAAAATGGCAATGATCTGGTTAAATGTATATCTGACTAGACATTTATTAAGAAAATTAGCTGGAATTCTTTGTTCTTTTTATTTATTTTATTCTATTAGTTAATTTTTTTTTCTGGAAAATCAGTGTACCACACATATATATATTGACCTCTACCCTTAATTTATAATAACATGTAGATGTTAGAGCAAGGTATAAGAAGTAGATGCACTTTTATGAATGGACAAATGGTTTTTGTTTGTTTCTTGAATTGGAGTCTCACTCTATCATCCAGGCTGGAGTGGCACGATCCTGGCTTCCCACAGCCTTGACCTCCTGGGCTTAGGAGATTCTTCTGCCTCAGCCTCCCTAGTAGATGGGACTACAGGCATGTACCACCGTACCCAGCTAATTTTTTTATTCTTTTGTAGAGCCAAAGTCTTGCTGTGTTGCCTAGGCTGGTCCCAAACTCCTGGCTCAAGCAGTCCTCCAGTCTTGGCTTCCCAAAGTGCTGGGTTTATAGGCATGAGCTACCATGCCCAGCTGACAAATGGGTTTTTTGACATTAGAAACTGTTAATCACTTTAAGCTCTTCAGTTTTTGTTTAAATTTTACTTCTTATTTCAATTGAATGACAGTATATGAGAAAGCACATGCACAGAACTTAGAGTACTACTTGGAAAATAATTAATATTCAAATAGTTATCATTAGTGGTGGCAGTGGCAATAGTAATAGTGATCATCTGCTCTAAGTCGCCCTGACTTTTTAGCTTAATGTTTGTATCTTTTGCAACGCATACCCTATTAGATTATATTTTAAGGGGTTGTTTTTAAAGCAGTAACAATCCATTAGGCAGCTAAAGGTAGAGGGAAAGAATGGAACATGCCAAAGGTCTGGCTTCACCTTTCAAGGTGACTTCTAATCTACATCGCGTTCAGGTTACCTTAACTCCTTTCCACATCTTATACTGAATCTCTTTTCGTTCAATAAGCTCCTTCCCTACTCCTAGGTTAAACTGAGAAGAAAATGGCAGACCATGGCCCAGATTGATTGCAGAACATGTTTACAAAAGGTTCTTCAGGCTGAATCTATACTAGTAGTTTTATACTTCTTATCCTCACAGTACAGAACAATTTCATACTCAAGAGACTGAGGCGGAAGGATAACCTGAGCCCAGCAGGCCGAGGCTGCGCTAGCCGTGATTGTGCCACTGCACTCCAGCCTGGGCGTCAGAGTGATACTCCAACTCAAAAAGAAAAAACAATTTCAGTTAAGGCTTGACTTAATCAGATTGCATCTTCATATACATTTCTGTAGTTTCAGTTTTTATCTTCATATTCAAACAAACCCCTTCATTTTATTCGGCTGTACAAAGAACATGTTTACTAAGATGCTTCCGTGGCTTTAATGAGTCATTACATTCACATACCTACCCAGAGTTCATTATAAGAAGGAAGGAAAAGGCATACTTCCTTAAAAAGGAATTATATACTCTTTTGGTGAAGTGCATATGGGAATGAATATATTTTTTCACATGGTGTTCTTCTGAATATATCAGAGCAGACATTAGAGATGCAGGGCAATATTTAAAAAAATATTTTGAACACAAAGCACCTAATAGTATTTTTGTATGCTGAATATCTATGGACATTCTTTCCACTAAAAGGAATAGTTTTTAACAAAACCTCAACTATACTACAGCAGTCCCTTTCGTCATTATCAAACCTCAAACAGCAACATATGCAGCAAAAATAAAATAATTTAATCAGGTGTTATAGTAATGTAGTGACAGTATTTTGGGGTATGACTGACTTTTCTAAATATTTGTAGAATTCCCATAAGCTTTCAAGGTGCATAGTTTTAAGATATTCGTTTGTAGAGGTAAGGTCCACAAACCTTATATTTGCTCTTTTTAAGTGCATTTTAAGAATAATCTTTAGGTGTTTTAAGGCTAGATTTAAAGGGCAAAAAATCTTGAGGGCTAGATTCTATCCTAGAAATGTTGATTCATCTTCTTGCATTGGGGTAAGAAGGAGAAAAGGTGAAAGCTGAAAGTCAGACTGATTCTAAAAGAACCAAGTGAGTGCTTTTATTGATACCTTGCCCTTTGCAGAGTGCATCAGTGAGTAGGTGACATTTGCTCGAGGCTTAGCTCCGTTTGTTACTGGAGGGATACTCTGGGTACTGGCTGAACACAAATTGATAAATGGAAAAGAGGCTTTGGGTTGAATGCTGCTATTCTTTAGATTATTTATTGGACCCAGGTTTTTAGAACTTCAGTCTGGTTAGTAAATACTGGTTTAGCATATATTTCCATCTAGGTTAATGGTGTTTTCCAGCAGCAACCAAGGCAAGTTTTCTCTGCAACTTGTGGCTGATGACTCAAGATTTACATTTTTTTTTCTTGTTTTCAGTATATCCTTACACATTTTTGTTAAATCTATGTTTCCTTTTAGTGCTGTTCAACTATTCTACTCAGTAAGGAACATCTTCCATTTGTTCCATGATGTTGTACCAACATATCATAAGTAAGTGCCACTGGATCTCATTTCTGTATAATAACTGTATGTTTAGAATGTTTATAAGTTAAGTTAAAGCCAGTAGTTTTATACTTCCACCAAAGATATTTTGGTTACTGAAATTAGCGAAATTCACACTAAAATATAGTAAACCATTTTAAAACACATATTTAAAGGACTTGGTCATTTATTATTGAAATTAGTAATGATCCTATGTAACATTGCTGTGGGTAATGCAAATTTAAAAATTCAAAAGAACTTTACCCTGTTTTGTTGCTAGACACTTTCAGAACTTTCTTAGTTTGCTTGGCTAAAAAACAAGAAGGACATCACTCCATATTGCTATCCAGTAAATATACACCTTTTCCCTTGGCATTCATAGCTCTGCACACATAATGCCACAAGAGATTTAACTGTCATGCATGATTAGCCACTCTTCCTCGCTATCTTAGGCCAAGTTTACTTGATGTCTTCGGTTTTTAAAGTTTCTTTTAATGTTAAACTGAAAAGTTACTCAACTCTAAGCCTCTAGGTGTTCTCTTTGTTATTCGAATTAAAGTATTTTGGATGCCTTGCATAAATGATTTTGATAAACATCAACAGAGCTATTTCTTAGCCAGACAGTTTGCTTTCAAAGACAAAAATCAATTTATTATTTTTCAGTTCAAATTTTTTAACAATTGAGATTTTTAAACTAGGCCCACCTATTGTTTTTGTTTAAAAAGAGAGTTTATTTAATATTGTGAAGGTTATTATTTTTATTTGTATTCTCTTTGCTGTCATTTAACATTTTTATTTCATTTTCTTAGTCAAAATATAGGAAAAGAGAATACATATTTGAATCAGCTGACAGCCTTGTCCTTGGGGATTCAGATACAGTTGGATAAGAAGTTTTTGTGGCTTAGAAACATTTTTCACACAGTTGTGGAGTTACATTTGCCTCTCTTTCTCCTTTGTATGATCTTGGAATATTAGTGTGCATCAGAATCACCTAGAAGTGTTGTTAAACCACATGCTGGGTCCATGCCCATGGTTTCTGATTTAGTAGGTCTGGGGTGAGACTTTGATGTTTAACAGATTTCTGAATGATATTGATGTTGCTTGTCAGGGGACCACACTTTGACAACCACTATTCTTAGATAATGGTTCTCAGTTTTAGTAATATTTTAGAGTAACTTAGGAGACTTAAAAAAATACATATTTGCCTAGTCCCTATTCCTGGAGCCTTTGGTTTATAGATCTGATGTAAGATCCAGGCATGTGTATATTCTTAAAGCCCCACAGATGATTCTATTGCGTAGCCTAGAATAAGGACAGCTATCTTGAATTGTCTGTTTCTTTTCTTTTCTTTTTTTTTTGAGTTGGGGTCTCACTCTGTCACTTAGGCCGGAGTGCAATGACATGATCACAGCTCACTTCAACCTCCACCTCCTGGGCTTCAGCCTCAGCCTCCTGAGTAGTGGGACTACAGGCATGCACCACCTTGCCTGGCAAATTTTTTGATTTTTTTTTGTAGAGATGAGATCTAGCTATGTTTCCCAGACTGGTCTTGAACTCCTGGACTCAAGCAATCTTCTGCCTTGGCCTCTCAAAGTGCTGGGATTACAGGCGTGAGCTACTGCACCTGGCCCAGATTGTTGGTTTTTGACACGTATATCTTGGTTTAAGCATTGAGTCAGTGCAGGATATTTTTCCAAGCTGGATAGGTTAATATGTGTAGAAGAATTAAAGCAGTTATTTTTCAATTCTAGATGAAAATTAAAATCACCTGGAAAGATTTTTAAAAGTACATATGCCTTGGTTTCACTCTCAGAAGTTGTGATTTGTTTGAAGCCTAAACATCTGTATATTTTTTAATTTCCCAGGTGACTCTAATCTGTATCAGCTTTGAAAACTAGTGAATTAGAAAATAGTTGAATGCTTCATTATATAAATGAAATAGGAATTTGGAGAAAGGGGAAGTAAACCTGTATGTCTACACACATATCTGTAAATTTTCAAGGAAATTATAAGCAGCTCTGCTAGGTTTCCAGTACAAAGAGTTGACTCAGGTAAACATCTTGTTTCCCTTAATCTTTCTTTTTTGTTAATGAATGGGATAATGTTATAGGATAAGATCCCATTCAGGCAGAATAGCTTCACTCTGGTTGGGAGAAGTGATGAGAATACATTTTGTTATGTATAGCATTTATAAGGCAGAAAGTTATTAAAGCCTAGAAATACATGCAAGGAGTCATGGCTTTTCATCAATCCTGGCTTCAGTAACAGTGGTTTCTCTCTTTTTCTATCCCTCCTCCTGGCCTAGGGAGAACCTTCAAAAACTGCCTCAGTTGGCCGCTATTCACCACAATAACTGTATGTACATTGCCCATCACTTGCTGACCCTTGGGCATCAGTTCAGATTAAGTCTTGCCCCCGTTCTTTGTAGTGACACTACTACTTTTGTGGATCTTGTACCTGGCTTCAGGAGACTTGGTAAGTGATACCTTACATGCAGGGAAGCATATGATCATGCAGCTTATCAGTCTAGTATCTGTGTAATTTATGAATGAGATAGAAGTTAGGTGGTGGTCCTGAGTTGTGTTAGAAAATGAGGGGGCATTAAATTTGCAAGTGTTGTTTCAGTTATTTAATTTTACAAAGTGAATGCAGTCTTTGTGGAAGCATTGCTTTTTTGTGACATGATTTCATGGTACTAGAGTTCCAAACTACATTGCTGGTTTGCATTAAATTCACCAAATCAGAACTATGTCAGTAGAATGACACATACTAAGATTTGTATTATGACAATTCTATTAACATTGTTGGTAAGAGGCTCACTAATGTCAGCGCTTGTTCTTTTGCCAACCCTAAGACAGCTCCCCTGTCTTACACCTTCCTTAGTTTAACTTGGAATTATTAAGAGTCAAAAGAAATGAGATGTGGTAGTAAATCAATATATTTACTATAATGATAACCCAAGAAAAGCAGAGAATCTATATGGTTCAGTTAGTTTTTCAGTTCCTGACTTTTCCCTTAGGTGGTGCAGATGTATCAGAATATTAAGTGACTTCTTTTCCATATCAGTACTTTTTCTTAGTTGATTCTGGCTCTAGGCAAACTATTGGGAAAGACTTATTTATTTAATGTCCTGAGGGTGGGGTTGGAGGGACTGTCTAATGTATTAGAAGTGATTGTTTCTAGTATGCTTAGGGCAGCTTTATGATGTTATCTAGTGATTGTTTTTATGTAGATAGAACTGATACATGGTTTATGCTCTTCTATCTTGGTTTTGCAGTATTTAATGGAACAGCTTTTAACATTCTTTATTCTGTTTTTCCATCATAGGGACAGAGTGTTTTTTGGCCCAAATGCGTGCACAGAAAGGTGAACTTTTGGAAAGATTATCGAGTGCTAGGAACTTTTCAAACATGGATGATGAAGAGAATTATTCTGCAGCAAGTAAAGCTATCCGGCAGGTAAGGAGGCAGTTGATAGCGCTGGAATTTGTACTCTATCCTTAGATGACCTTCTTTTTTTTTTTTAAATTAAGCAGCAAAAATATGTAACACAGTTGATTTCGCCACACCCCTGCTTTGGAAAATCTAGATACCTTTTATAGTCATGTTTAAAAATTTTTCCTCCCCAGTCCTACCAAGACAATAGGAAACTATATTTTCGTTGATTGAATAATGTGACGAGTTACTTAGTAAGTCTGTTGTAGCAAGTAGCTGATTAATGAACTTGGATTTGGGAAATTGGAAGTACCGGCATTTATCTTAATGCCCCTCTCTTTTAAGGGATTTATCCTTTCACTGTCGTTTTTCCATCCTCGAGATGAGTCTCCTTTTTATCCACAAGGAATATCATAAGGTTAAATATTCAAGAAGCATGTGTTCCCGATTACTTTGCCTTGCCTTTGCAAAATGCCTTTTTCTCCGTACATGTGCAAATGATAAATGTAAATCTGGAAAATGTGAGTTGCAACAATATCTTTTCCATGTAAATAGCTGTCTTCTTTTGACAGGTACTGCACCAACTGAAGAGACTTGGAATTGTGTGGCAGGATGTCCTGCCAGTGAATATATATTGCAAGGCTATGGGTACTTTACTCAACACAGCAGTTTCTGAGATCATTGGCAGAATTACTGCCCTGGAGGTAAGCACTGTTAGATACTACACTAGACTTAAGATGCAATTCTTGTCCCAGATTGTGACTTTGCTAAGAAAATGATGTTGAAGTCTCATTTCTAGTCAACACAGATGGCAGAAGAAATTGTTCATGTTTCATGTCTAACTCATGCTGTTATGTTTCTTCAGTTTTGTTTTAATTCTATTTTGCTGGAGACTGGTTAATCTCTTTTATATCTGTATAAAAAAGTAGGATCATACTGCTTCTCTACCTGGCATCTGTAAGTTATGAAGGAGGAAGTTGGAAACTGGGTAGCTGTCCTGAGATGTATAGTGTGAAGTCTTCTAATTTGCAAGTGAACTCAATAATTTAATTTAGTAAAGTGAATGCAGTGTTGTATAGGCACCACTTTCCCAATATACTGTTGCAGTTGAGATTATATGTGTGATCCTATGGGAAAATTGTCTGAACTTGGCCAGTTGATGTCTCTAAAGCATAAGATTGACTAAATGCTTATTTGTAATAACATCCCCTACTTTGCAACAAGCTGTGCCACATTCCACTGGAGAAATAGGTTTCTTCATGCCAGCAAACTAAATTACTGACAATCTGTTGAAACATGTTTTGTGTGATTCTAGCATTACGAGTATTGTCAGACAACTGATGAAATCTAGTGTCTAGTAAGGTGTGCTAAATTGGTTGGAAAACATATTGCTGTAGCTGACCCACCTGGACAGCATGCATTAAATATCTGCTGTCCTTTCCCCACTGCTAAGATGGCCCAATTCTATTCTGTTGTGTTTCCTTTGTGCAAACCAGGACATCTCTACTGAAGATGGTGATAGATTGTATTCCTTATGCAAAACAGTGATGGATGAAGGACCCCACGTGTTTGCACCCTTGTCTGAAGAAAGCAAGAACAAGAAATATCAAGAAGAGGTTCCGGTCTATGTTCCAAAATGGATGCCATTCAAAGAATTGATGATGATGCTACAAGCCAGCTTGCAAGAGATTGGAGATCGGTACTTGTAACCCTTCTATAGAGGCGTATCTCTCTCAACAGAAGAGTGATTGTACCCTTGGTAGCAGTGCTTCTCTCTGTTTTCTAATGTTACTTAAGAAAGAGTTTTGTACCAAGCAGCAGTAGCTAGGGCCTTTTCATGATCTATCGTAGTGCAGATCTCATGACCACTTTCTCATATTTGATAACATAAAGTCTGTTCTTTTTTTCTTTTTCTTTTTCTTTTTTTTTTTTTGAGTTGGGGTCTCACTCTGTCACCCAAACTGGAGTGCAGTGGCATGATCATGGCCATTGGATCCTCCACCTGCTGAGTTCAGGCAATCCTTCTGCCTCATCCTTCCAAGTAGCTGGAACTACAGATGTGTGCCATCATGTCTGGCTAATTTTCTGATTTATTGTAGAGACGAGGTCTTGCCAAGTTGCGCAGGCTGGTCTCGAACCTTTGGGCTCAAGCAGTCCTCCTGTCTCTGCCTCCGAAAGTGCTGGGATTACAGGTGTGAGCCATCATGCCTGGCCAAGACTTTTCATTCACATTATTTTGGTCTTGAACATGTGATTCTGGCATGCTGATCTGGCATTTGTAAGAATTTGTAAGAATTATACCCTTCTGACACCTGGATGGAAATTGTTGATCACTTTCAGCAACAGTGGATGCATTTTAAAAATTACTTTGATATGTTAACAGAGAAGTGTCTGAAATATTCAGCATCAAACTATTGTTAGATTGACCAGCAGTCTTTTTGCAGGGAGTGCAAAGTTTTAGAGCGTAATCACCCTACACCTAGAAAGTATTCATCTTAAATATAGTGGATGATGTTTCTCTCAACACCATCAGTTAATGTTGCTGTGCCTGTGTTATGATATGACATGATATATATCATATCATAGTATGTAGAGGCTGTTGCATAAAACAACATAGATGAGGGTTAGTTAACACCTCCAAGGGTGTTTTTATATTGTCTTGGTAGATTACTGATCAGCATGTATACCTTGCATGGGGAACGTCCTAGAGAGACCTTAAGTTTTATCTTCATCCCTATAGCTACTTGTCTGTCTACTTTCGCTACTTGTCTGTCTACTTTCGCTACTTGTCTGTCTACTTTCGCTTGGTTTACAACAGATGTCTGGTTGTATTAGACCAGTCGTCCTAGATGTGCCTGAGTTGTTCACTGCAAATATTTCTAATTTGTAACAACGTAGATTAGATTTCTACTTGAAACAACTTACATTCTAATACCTCTAATTACATTTTAATACAAAGTTTTGATCTATTCATTTGTTATTTGCAAATTCTTGGCGAGTAAGAGTGATGTCTTTAAGTAACAGACTCCAGAGGGCAGCAGATAAGGATTTTTCTTTCTGCTGTTAAGGGGTCTTCTTGTAGCCTAAGAATGATTATGAATTCCTTGTTTTGAGAAAAATTACAATTAGGATATTATTCAACTTCTTTTTTCTGCCTAGGAAATTTTTCTCTCAGAGATCTCACTAAATATAAGGCTAATATCTAACTGAGAAAAATTTTTATTAAAGAAACCAGTCATATGTAATTTAAACATTGTAAAACATACAAATGAAGGAGCACAGTATATATGATGTATATTCACAGTTTAAATAAAAAGAATACATGTTCACATAGCTATTACCCAACTTAAGAAAATTAATACCAATACCTTTGAAAAATAATATTAGTACTGTATATCCTTTTCCAAATGTTCTCCATGAGGGGTAGCCGCTATCTTGAGTTTTGTTTTCTTTATTTCCTTGCCTTTCTTTTAGTTTTACCACATGACAGTATTCCAAAACAATATAAAGTTTAGACTTGGCTGGGTGCGGTGGCTCAGCCTGTAATCCATCACTTTGGGAGGTTGAGGTGAGAGGATTGCCTGAATCTGGGGGTTTGAGACCAGCCTGGACAACTTAGTGAGACCTCGTCTCTACAATAAATTACGAAAACTAGCTAGGCGTGGTGGCATGGATCTGTAGTTCCAGCTACTTGGAAGGCTGAGGTGGAAAGATCGCCTGAGCCCAGCAGGTGGAGGCTGTGGTGGCCATGAGCGTGCCGCTCTGTACTCCAGCCTGGGTGACAAGAGTGAGGCTCTAACTAAAATAAATAATAAATAAATAAAGTTTAGATTTGCCTGTTTTTGAATTTTCTATAAGTGGAATCTACCATAACTTGCTTCTTTTGTTTGATATTATGTTTTTTGAAATCCATTCTTGATGGCATGTGTAGTTCAGTTCATTTTCACTGCTGTGACATATTCCACTGTACAAATATTTCTTAGTTAATTTGTCATGTTGAGTTGTATTTTTATCAATATTTGGAATGATAAGACTTGAAATTTTTTGCTAATCTAGTTGGTATGGAATAATAACTCATTGTCATTTTAATTTGCATTTCCCTAAATTCTAATTAGGTTGAGCATCTTTTCATTGGTCTCTCATGTTTTTTTTATTGTAAAATGCCTGTTCATATTTTTTTGCCCTTTATTCTGTTAGGTTGTTTGTGGTTTCATTATTGATTTGTGGGGGTTCTTCATATACAAAGGGTGCCAAAAAAAAGTATACACATTTTAAGAAAGGAAAAAAAAGTATTAAAATTATAATACTCAATACATACCAATAACAAAGATGAATACAAGTCACATCTGACGTCTGCAGTTATAAGAGGTGCTCAAAGGGCTACCATTAATGTCTAGACACTTCTGATTACGGTGAACTACTGCTTGAGCAACGTTGACCAAAATATCCACTTGTATTGCTGCACATGCCATTTCAATTTCTTCCTGAAGTACTGCCAGTATAGCTGGTTTTCTCTGGTACACCACATCCTGTAAGGTTCCCCCACAGTTAGAAGTCAAGGAGTATTAAGCCAGGAGAATGCAGGGAAACTCAACCACACGTCTTCGTCCTATCCAGGATTTGTTGCTGTGCGAGGCTTCCCAGATCATCCCTTGTGCACATCGCACATAGTATCATGCCTCTCAAACTTATCACGAATGCATGCAGTTGTTAGGTGTGTTGGAGGTTCTGTTGCATACTCACACCTCCATTGTTGTCGTTCTTTCACAACATTCTCAAGTTTTCAAATACCACTTCCACATGGTCTTGTGTTCCTCTAACGTTGCCCATGCCTCTGCTATTTTCTTTGACTGTCCTGCCTGTTGTTGCATGGTGATTCATTTAATTAATGCCATCTTTTGAGCAATCTCCATACTATACATTGCTACAGTAATTCAATTCAACTTTGAAAAGTAATGCATAGATAACATTTCTTAAAGTGCGTATACATTTTTTGGGTACACTTTGTATTTTTATATCAGTCCTTTGTCAGTTAAAATTTGTTGCGTGTGGTTCTCTTTTTAATATAGCCATAGAGCCTGAGGCGTGGGAGTATGGCCATAATTATTAAGGTCAGAGAGGGCTTGTTGGGTTATAGAATAAGGGAGGACAGTCTCATATTCCTCACTTGGTCTCTTCATATCTGGCTGTGCTGATACCAGGGTTAGCCAGTGAGCAAAGTGGTTAAAGATATTGAGGGGTAAGCCGGGCTCAGTGGCTCAGCCTGTAATCCCGCACCTTTGGGAGGCTGAGGAGAGTGGATTGCCTGAGTCCACGGGTTCGAGACTCACCTGGGCAGGCGAGACCTCATCTCTACAATAAATAAAAAAATTAGCCGGGCGTGGTAGCACGCGCCTGTAATTCCGGCTACTTGGAAGGCTGAGGCGGAACGATCGCCGGAGCCCAGCAGGTCGAGGCTGCGGTGGCCGGGAGCGGCCACTGCACTCCAGTCTGGGCGACAGAGTGAGATTCAACTAAAAAAAAAAAGATATTGAGGGGTAGATATATACAGAAGAGAAAAGATGCCCAGGATTTGTTTCTTTCCATTAAAAACAAGTACACATTTGGATCAAGTAAGGAGTTTTTACATCTTGCTTATACTTCAGGGATATAATAGGAAATAGAATTCTTCCTTTTGTTTTTCAGGTGGGCAGATGGAAAAGGGCCCCTGGCAGCTGCATTCTCTTCCAGTGAAGTAAAAGCTTTAATTCGTGCCTTGTTCCAGAACACAGAAAGAAGAGCAGCTGCCCTTGCTAAGATTAAATAGCTCCGTCTTCTTGAGAAAGCTATGTCTTGACTATGTGGATTTCTCCCTTGACATAATTACTCCTCTAAAGACTTCTTGGAATCACCCATTGGTTTTGTTGAACCAGCGTATCAAAGTTTGACTTTACACAAGAACGTCTTACCTCCTGGCCTGTATGAGGCTTTGTTTAAGAACTGTCTATTGGAAATAAGTTGTCAAGTAAAGCACCTCAGTTCTCTGACTTTCTACCCACCTGCCTTTGATTAGTTAAGAAACTGTTGGGCAGCAATATTTCATGCCCTTTGAGAACTATGTACATTGTAAATGTAGGCCCTGGCTTTGGAGTGAGGAATTGGGAGATTCCAGAAGTCAGGGTAGAAAATTTGTAAGCAAATGGGGTGGGGGTGGGGAGCAGGGGTGCCATATTTGGCCTTGAAGGAATTAAGGAGATTTCCTGTAATATTCCTTTCCAATAAACAATAATGCATTAGAGTTAAGAGTGGATGTCTTGAATAACATGGGAGCTTTGACAGAAGAGACCAACAAATTTTCTTATTTGCTATGTCATTCTTTGTAATGAAATACATATTCGTCACAGAAGACTCACTGGCTTGTCTTCTTCTTTCTTCGTAACATTGCCTAATAATTTCTCAGAATTCCTAGGACTCCTAGGACTTTCTTTTCATTTTTGGCATGCTTTACTATTTCAACTAAATTTGATTTTTTTTTGTCTAGTTTTTCTTTTTCCTATTTAAGGGTCATACAAGAACTATTAAAAAAAAGAAGACTGGTTCTCCTTTCATATAACAGAACTCAGCTGTGTTTAACAACAAGATGTTTGTCTATATTGTGCATGCCTTACCATGAGACCTCAGAGAGAAAATAATTGAAGCAGCACTGCTTTTTTTGAGAAAAAAGAACTTAGCTTTCTTGGGGGGGTGGCATTTTCACAGGTGAAGAAAATATCCATTTTTGAAAATTCACAGGATTTCAGGTAGCATTACTTTTCTCAGCAATGGAAAGAATGAGGAACTGAGGGCAGAACTGAAATAAACGCATCACAGGGCTATACACAGAACAGCAGATTTCTTTTGTTCATAGAAGCTATTCCTGTTGCTTGACAGGTACAGCAATTTGGAGGTGGGATCTCTTGTAACTGAAAAGCATGCTCTTCACTGCTCTCCCCACAGTAACAGAGAAAACTGCATTGCAGTTCTTCTTAGGCTATGTGGATGCCATTCCTTGGGACCATTTCTCCTCACGAATAGTTTGTATTCTATAGCACACAGAATGAGCAGACCCCATCCTCTCCCTGACCAGGGCAATTGACAGCGGTGATTCAGTGTGTGCTCATTTTGGTTAGGGATGAGTCATCTGCTTCAACATGTGCAAGTTGGGGCGGGCAGCTCTTGAAAGGCCCTTGAGGGTACCCGTTATGACTGGGAACCCGAGTTGGAAAGGGAGTAGAACCTTCTTCCGGTAGAGAGAATGTGTAGATTGTGAGAGGAAGGGAACTGTAAGAAACTTGACTCATTCAGTGGATCTGTGGGCCGAATCAAAGAATCTCCTTCCCAAAGAACAACCAGGACTACACAAATGACTTTGGAAAATGAAATTTGGCCAGGTGCGGTAGCTCAGCCTGTAGTCCCAGCACTTTGGGAGGCTGAGACGAGAGGATTGCCTGAGCCCGCGGGTTTGAGACCAGACTGGGCAACGTGGTGAGACCTTGTCTCTACGATAAATCATAAAAACTAGCCGGAAGCGGTGGCATGCATCTGTAGTTCCAGTTACTTGGAAGACTGAGGCGGAAGGATCGCCTAAGCCCAGCAGGTTAAGGCTGCAGTGGCACACTGGGCAACAAGAGTGAGACTCCAACTAAAAAAAAAAAGAAAAAGAAAAATGAAATTGAAGAAAGGTTTCCCAAGATTGTGGGCAAACGGGAAAGTTTTTGTTAAAAAGGCACATCTGCAAACCGCCTAAGTCCATGAGATGACTTGATAATAGCTTCTGTTTCAGAATTGTTGGTGACCTGTTTTGTGGTCAGTTTTGTGACAACATCTCTCTCTGAAATGGAATCCTCCAGATGGCGCTCTTTCCTCAGTATGGGAGCATCGCAAGGCATCTAACCCTGGTCTGTGAAAATGAAAGCCAGAGAACCTTCTATTCCTCTGAGTTTGTGATCTGGCCTTGGTCAGCTCTGGAGAGGCCTCCAGGCTCTGAACAACATCTATACGATAAGCTGCAACACCTTGCCAAACAGTCACTCGTGAGTAGATCAAACTATTTTCTTTGATTAATAACACTGTCAAGGGAGATGTGGATAATCTCTTCTCCATGTTTGTAAATGTTGATGCTATCACTTAAGGCAATGATTCCCAGCTTTTTATAGGGGTTTATTCTATTGTTTATCTGATTCTCAATATCTTATCTCAAAGAAGTACTGAATTAAACACAAAAGGGATACACAGACATACACTAGTGCATTTTTGTGATTATAAGAAAACTGGCCCATAGAAGTCGTTTTGTCAAGCTCCATAGCTAGTGTGTGCCATGGATAAATGAAAGTGTGTGTAGGAGTGACTTCTTAGCCACGCGAGAGAGCTATAAATGGAGGAAAGGTTAAGCCCATCAGAAACTGCCTCATGTACAAAAACATCTTGGCACAAAGTAGTTCTAAATTGGGTTTTGAAGCCCACATTCCTCCTAATCATAAAATTGATTTTGAACATTTGTTTTGTGAAAACTTCCTCTTACAAATGTGCATTAGGTCAAAGCCTAACATTTTTTTAAAAACGAAAAAGCCCCAGTTTTGCAAAGTTTTCCAATTATTGTACGGTTTAGACAGAAATTCCTCACTTTGCCGTGAGGAATTTGGTTAAGAGTTTTGTAATATCACAAGCTGTAACTGGAAATAGCCTTAGATGTCTCAGAACCAAGTTATGAAATCGCTACCTAGAAGCTGGGGAGGAGGGCGATCGTTTTGATGAGCTATGTATACGTTCTTCACTCCTTCAGAAATCGGGTGCCCCAGTTTTTTTGCTTGAGAGTGGGGTGGGAGTAGATGGGTCTTAGCTACTCCAGCTATTGAGGAAGACAGTTACTGACAAGGTCAGGGACACCACATCCTTCCTTGCCTCAAGCTCCTAAGTAGTTCTAAAGCGCTTTACACTCACTTCACGTACATTTATTGGCTGCCAGGCATTGTTCTAGTCACTGAACAACCACAAAAAAACCTCAAACAAAAATTTCCTGTCCCACGGTAATTTAAATTCTAGCGACAAAAGGAAGGTAATAAAAATGAAATAAGTCAATTATATGGTATGTTTGAAGATGATATGTGCTAGGGAAAAATAATAACATGTAGGGTGATGAGAAGTGGGGGCAGAGGGGTGAGCTGCAGTTCTAAATGGGATGGTCAGGGTGTGTCTCCTAGAGAAGGGGAGGAAACCGTGTGGACGGCTGGGTGGAGACAACTCTCAGCAGAGAGCGCAGCCCTTGCTTGCAAAGGCCTGAGATGGAAGGGGTGTGCTCCGTGAGCTCAAGAAATAGCACAGGGTGGGAAGCGAGTGGGCGGCCTGGAGGCTGGGCGAGGAGGCTAGAGGTTAGGAGAAACAGTGCTGCAATAAACATGCGTGTGCAGGTGTCTTTCGTGGAGTGATTTATGTTCCTCTGGGTATATTCCCAGAAAAGGAATTGCTGGATTGTATGGAAGCTCTGTTATTATTATTGCAGCACTTTTCACAAGAGCAAGAACGTGGAATCAACTCAAATGTTCATTGAAAGTGAACTGGATAAAGAGTGTGGTACATACACATGATGGAATATTATGCAGCCATAAATAAGAACAAAATCATGGCCTTCACAGCAGTATGGATGCAGCTGGGGACCATCTGAACTGTCACAGAAACAAAGAACTGAATACTGCATGTTCTCACTCAAGCTGGCCTTGATTACTGGTCACATGAGCCCAAGGGTGGGATCTGCAGATGTTGGACACTGCTAGGGGAGGGAAGGACGGAGAAAGCAGGTAGGGGAGCACATGCCATCACACTGGGTACCTGGCCCACTATGAGGTACCCAGACTTCACCTGCATACAACTTACTTATGTAGTAAATCCTCACCTGTACCCCACAACTCTAAAATAAGGAAGGGAGGGAGGAAGGAAGGAAGGAAGGAAGGAAGGAAGGAAGGAAGGAAGGAAGGGTGGGTCTCACTCTGTCAGCCTTGACCTGCTGGGCTCAGGCCAATCCTTCCATCTCAGCCTTCCAAGTAGCTGGAACTACAGGTGTGTACCACCATGCCTGGCTAATTTATTGTAGAGACAACCTCCCACCAAGTTGCCCAGGCTGGTCTCGAATCCCTGAGCTCAGGCAATCCTCCACCTCCCAAAGTGCTGGGGTTACAGGTGTGAGCCAATGTGCTTGGCTGAATTTTAGTTTTTTTCTAAATGAGTCAAATGGTTGACCCGTAGCAGCCTAAAGAAAAGCACCTCTTAAAAAAATGGAAACTGCCGGGTTCGGTGACTCAGCCTGTAATCCCAGCGCTTTGGGAGGCTGAGGTGAGTGGATTGCCTGAGTCCGCGGGTTCGAGACCCGCCTGGGCAACTTGGCGAGACCTCATCTCTACAATAAATCAAAAATTAGCCGGGCATGGTAGCGTGCGCCTGTAGTTCCAGCTACTTGGAAGGCTGAGACGAAGGATCGCCAGAGCCCAGCATGTCGAGGCTGCAGTGGCCAGGAGCGGCCACTGTACTCCAGTCTGGGCGACAGAGTGAGACGCCAACTCAAAAAAAATAAAATAAAATAAAAAAGAAACATAAAAGCAGAGAAGAACAGAATGGTGAACTCTTGTGTACCCATTGCTCAACTTCAACCGTTATCATTTCATGGCCCGTCTTGCTTCCTCCATGTTTCTCCTTCCTTCCCTCCCCATCCTACCCCTGCCCCAAATGCTGACACAAATGCACAAATGCCAGGTGGTCTGTTTCAATCTCAGGGCTCATTCCATAGCCTGTGAGTTTTGTTTCTTTTGAAGCTTTCTCTTGTCGCATCCCTCCTTCGGCTCTTGATCTTCCTTCACCTCTACCCCCAGGAGCTGTCCCTCCAACCACCTGCCTCCCCTCTCTTTCCCCAACTTCAGTTCTCAGACTCACTCTCATAGGTCCACTCCACCCCATTCCCTGAACACTAGGTATTAACAAGCACCCCCAAAGCAGCTGACAACTGACTCACGCCTCCACTCCCCTTGTCGCCTCCTTCCCTCTGCTCCAGTCACTTGCTCCAGCTAACCCCATCCCATAGTTTCTGGGTGTTCAAAAGCTGCACGGCGATTGCTTCATCAGAGAGGATACCCCTTCCCCCCTTAGAACCACATTGTCCAAGGTTGCTTTCACGGGGAATCCCAGAAGACTTGGTTACCCAGCTCCGCCTACTGAGTCCTAGGACTGGGGGCAGCTGGAGTCTGGGACTGGCCTGGCTGACGGCAGAGCCACCGCTTTTCTAAGACCTGTCGGAAGTGGAGAGGGTGGGGAGCGGCACAGCCACCGGCTGGCTTCCGTCTTCTATTCCCTGCTTTAGAAATGCTGCTTCAAAAGAATATTAATCATTTTTATTTGCATGAAGGGCTCCGTTTATGCTTGATTACCATGCAGTATGATAAAAATTGTGCATAACGCTAAGTATGTCATTAACTGATAAATTTCATTTAATTTCAATACTGAGCTCTGTTCCTAAATACAGTTTAAATAGTTTGCCATATCTGTTTCTACATTATTGTTTAAAACAGAAAAAATCAGGACTTCTTCCTCACCAGTTAGCTGTTTAGTAATCTGTTCTAGGCTCATTTGTAAAATTGACTTGATGTAGCAGTGGGTCTTTCTCCCTCTTATTGAAAATTGGGGCATTTGCTCAACTCAAGGATGGTGTAACATGGTTTGATGATTTCTTTTATTTGTGAGTCCCCTGTGATATAATTCATCTGGGTCTAGAATTGTGAACTCATTTAAAACAGTTTTCCTTTTCTATCTTTTCACCGATCTTAGGCTTTGTTTTCTTTTTAGCGACGTTTGTTCTACCCTTTCCAGGTTGAAGATAATTCTCCTTGATAGGGAATATAGAAACAAAATACTGGTTGAGCCCTTCAGCTGTCATTTTTTTAAAAGCCAAGTCATCAACTCTAAGCATAGTCTATTGTTTTTTTTTTTTTTTTTTAACTGATTGTACCCGCCCCCTTCCCAAATAATTTTTTTTTAAAGTAAACTTCAACATATTCTGGGCTTTGATCTTCCTATCATGATTTTTTGTGTTCAGACCATTTCTATAGTTTTGCTGATGTAGGGAATGTTTGTGTTTTGTTTTATTTATGTTGTTTTTAGAATTCACTGCTGTTTCTGTCTGCAGCGATACCCTCGTTTTTTATTGTATCATCAAATTTTATTATATAGACAGATATTCCATTTGAAAGTCCCCCTCCTCACACCCCATTTCATCCATAGTAGGATGTCTTTCTTTTAAAGTCTGTGGCCATGAGATCATTTCTGGCATTTTTTCCGTGTTCTTTGAATTATGCTTTTCTAAAGCTGGGACCTGCGCCTAGGCCACATCACTTCTGTCTCACCTAGTGTGAAATTTGCAATTGTCCTCTAATTGATGTTTTGGATAAAAAGTTTCCTTCTTTGCTTCTTCAACTTTCTGAAAGGTATTTATTAGCAAGGCAATTAAATACATGTTGGATATTTGGATTTTCAGTAGGGGGCGACCTCTAGCTGACTTTTGGAGAACTGAAATTACCCACATCCTTGAGCCAACTTTTGGCTAATTTTTAGAAAAATGTCAGCCACTTCTTCTAGCTGACTGGGTGGTGCTGCAGTACATACATATAGCAGCATAATTTCTAATTCTTTTTTGTTGTTTCTTTTTACCCCCATGTGCCTGGCTATTTAATGTTCACATTATCAACCTATAGAATTTAACTTGAAATCTCTGAGAAGTCAATAAAATCTTTTTATTTTATTTATTTATTTTTTTGAGTCGGGTCTCACTTTGTCTCCCAGGCTGGGGTGCAGTGGCATGATCACGACTTATCACAGCCTCGACCTTCTGGGCTCAGCCGATCCTTCTACCTCTATCTCCCAAGTAGCTGGGACTACAGACATGCGCCACCATGCCTGGCTAATTTTTTTGATTTTTTT